ATATGATCGATTGAAACATTTGAAAGGTTGCATGCTTGCATAATGGGGCACATTCCCTGAAGCCTGGAGATGACTAACATGAGGATGGAGTGGGCGAGTTGCGTGTAGCTTATTCTGGTTCTAGCTATGACAACAGTTGACAGTTGTAGTTACTATATCTCTTTATTTTTGAACGACGTTAATCTGTATTGTTATTAATATATATATATATATATATAATGTGCTATGCGTCTACAAAAACGGATAGTTTTTTTTCCTGAATACCATGAATATCACAATTTTAGTCTATAGAGCAACAGTGATGTGGTCTTGCAGTCAAATATAATGTATTTGATATTATGTTTATGTATTAATGTATTATCTATAGTATTGTTGTACTTATACTACTTTAGACTTCTATACTAAGTAAATAAGGTACTCTTATATTGTTGACAGTGAAGCTCACATGGGGACGACCGCCATTTTGATGGCCGACAAAACATTAGTTGGCATACACAAAATGTCAAGGAATAAATGAAATTATATATTTTTTTAAAGGTAAAATATAATAATTATGAAAAAATTATGTGCATAAAATAATTATTTTTTGTTACAAACAACAAGTCTAGAAATAAAAAAATACAATACGACATCAATTAATATTTATCATAAATACATAATATAGCATGCTATTAGCCAACCGAGAAGATGGAGGAACCCGGCTTCAACTAAAGGCCCGAGTTACTTATCTATAGTTAGTAATATAAATATAGTTTATATGGTATAGACCATTATAGACACAGAATACATGAAAATATGAAATATATATTCTGTGGACTGACGTGGTACTGTAAGTTCTATGATGGTAGTATGGTACAGAAGTCTCAAGTCTGTGGTTGTACTACTATCTACTCTGTGGTTGTACTACTTGGAATTACAACCTCTTTGACTCTTGAGTTGATTATCAAACCGCGTGTGTTTTCGAATGAAAATCACAGTTATGTTTTTTTCCGCCACGATATTAGCGTCAAGTTTGTTTTCCTTGCACTTCATTGTTTTATCTTTATTCAACTATAAATGATAAAATTGTGATTTGTTTTATTTCCTACACGTTCCGAGTTAAATTATATTTCTTTTTATTTGTTCATATATTATACTTCTAATTAAATAGTGATTATTGAAATGTTTCGGTTCTAGGTACTTCGATTTGTTCAAAATTTAAATTAAGCTCTTAAAGATGGATAAGTATGAAGGTTGGGGAACAACCGAAAAAACGGAATTGTTTGTATTTTTTTCACGTTATTTTAATTTGCTCCTACATACTTCTCCAGTAGTTACAAAATTGGTTTGGTTATAATTTTTGATCTGTTTTAGTTTGTCAAAATGTCATGAATTTGTTAAAAATGCTAAATCAGAATTTTCACTAACAATTACAACTAATGGCAGTCCTACTGGTACGTTAATCAATAAACTATTTAAAGTTTAATTTTATCTTTAAATTTATCTTGTAATAATTATTCAAAATAAATATTTACACCTGGGTAATCTTTGTAATTACCTAATTATGTTCAAAGTATAAATTTATGTAATTAACTCATTAATATCTATTATTAATGTTATAAATTATTGTTTTCAGATTTGGCCAAAGCTATTCTTTCATTTTTGATTGCATGTATTAAAGGAAAAATTAAAACAAGCCTTGGTTTATCTGTTTTAAGTGATTTAGTAAGTATAATGATTATACCAAATTTTGCTTTAAGCCTTTCCCTTTTTCCACCACTAACTTAATTTTTATCAGTTCCAATTAAATGTATGAAATACTCGAATACATGTTTATATTTATAAATTAAAGCTTAATTATATTACGTTTAAGAATATTTTATAAGAATCACATTTTTTATTTATTTATTTATTTATTTATATKTACGTGTTTTAGTGTTTAAATGAAGAAATTGCTTCTGTGGTGATGGATGTCTTCAATTACTTAGATACTGACACAGCCCTTTCAGATAATGGGGGATCAGAAAGAGAATATTTTGGCAATTTTATCAAGGAATCGCAAAAGGTTTATATCTATTTTAAATTAACTCTTCAATAACTAATACAATATAATGTTTGTGTTATTTTTTTTCATAGTTATTTACTGACAAATTACTTAAAGAACGATTAGAAATTGACTCATTAAAGGACATAAAGTTATTAAATAATATTTTTTCTACAAAATTTATTAAAATTAAAACTAAACTTTTGTGAGTTGTTTATTTTTTTTTAAATTAAATTCATTAGTATGTATGATCTCAAATATTGATTTAACTTTTTTTTTATTAGTTATAAACAGCGAAAATATAATTTATTTCGCGAAGAATCTGAAGGCTATTCCAAATTAATTACAGAATTAAATTCTGATAATATGGATCCTAAAATCATGGTTGAGATTATTAAATCATTGATTGGTTGTTTCAACTTGGACCCAAATCGTGTGTTAGATATCATTTTAGA